GAATACATTAAAATCAGCCAATTCTATTATGTCTTGGAATTTAATTGGGACAATATCAAACTTTGTCTCTGAAATTTGTCAAAAACTAACAATCCATGATTTCTAGTCAGTCTTCATATGAGAACATCCTCTGGAAGATCACAGGCAACATTCAATAAACTATTTCACAATAAAAGTGATATAGCTTATATATAAATGCTATTCCTCAATCCTGAGTTTAGCCATGAAATTCAACAAATGCTCATAGATGGCCTTCAGATATTCTCTAATACCATGAACATGTTAGGTACCATAAATAACTGAATAAGACAATTACTATTTTTTTTTAGGAAGAACCTGAAAACAAAACAGAATGAGTTGGCAGAATGATGTTAAGTACTCTTTGTTTCCCAATACTGGATGTAGTACAGGTCAGGGCAGAACAGATTCCTGGCCAAGTTAAACCCAAAGAAAGCCTACAAGACTGGAAATGTCAACTCTTACTCAATGGTTACTGTAAAAGAAATCCCCGAGGGCCTAGAATTTTAAACAATTTATTTTCACCCCATAGCTCATGGACCACTACAAATTTGCTCTAGAATGTAGATTTGGTTCATGTTTGTAGGGCTCTCAGCAAAACTGAGAGACACCATAAATAGAGAGGAAGATTGCTAGAACAATTAAAAGAGACTGGATCATTTTAATAATGCCCTTACAAAATCAAACTAAAAGACACCAGCTGACTTAACTCTCTCAAATCTGCCAAGCAATTTCTTGGACTATAGCTGATTGTGATTTTCATGGTGGAGTTTCATTTGTTTTATTGCCCAAATTGTAAGGTTCCAATTTCTCAGTATAATGCTAAACAGCTTGCTGGCATTCTTCTCTAAAGAGGGTTTTACAAATTCAATGAATTTTAGAGTTGGAAAAAAATTCACCAAATCAGTTCATTTTTTATTTAAATGAACTGAGTCCAGAGAGGTTCCATGTTTAGCAAGAGCTGTGGGCTCACAGACCATGGATGAAGGAGGTACTCCTTCCTGAGTTTATGGTTGTGGCCACATTTCTTAAAACCAGGGTCTTAGTTTCCTCAACTATATATAAAGTGAAGACTACAGTATCGACACTTTTAGAATAATTGAGGAGGATTCTACAATTAAAAAAAAATATGCAGCAGAGTGCCTTACAGATGGTAAAATGGCCAATAAATAACAATAATTGTTAGTTTTGCTATTTTATCCATAGGTCCTGGCAATTACATAACAAATATTTACTAGTGAGAAGTAATAGTGGTTTTTATTAATTATTTTTACTGCCCATGATAGCAGAAGTCATTTATTCAAGAATTAAAGGTAAAGTACCAATGGCCTAAATAAATCCTCATTTCTTTTTCCAAGAATTTGCATTTAAATCATCAAAAGAAGATTCCCTTTCATAATCATAGGTGGAGTAGCATTAGCCAAGAATTTTGCAGGAGAAAAGAGCCACAATTTCTACTGAATGGTATTTGGTTTGCACCATTGTTATGCATAAAATCAAGAAGTAAGCATTTTTCTTACAGCTCAGAGCAAACTCACTGAAAGACTGCATGGCACAAATGAGGAACTATTGCAGCTTCTTGAGTTAAACTAACATCTTTTGTATACAAATGTCAATCTTTTGTGGAGTAATATTGTAGCAACTAGCTGCAAATACTGTATAAGTAAAGCAATGAAATGCATAAAGGGAAAATGTTGCAAGGGTTTCTCCTTGGGTTGGTTTTCTCTTTTTATTTTGTCCTCCCTGATCCTTTAAAGTAGTGCCACCCAAACAATGATGTGCATATGAATCACTGGGGGCTCATATTAAAAAGTCATCAAAGGCAGGAGCTCTGCAGGATGCCTGCCATGTGACACCAGTGTGCAGGTCAAAGGACTTCTTGGCTAGAGTGAGACAGCATTGGACTTGATTACATTGATGAGTACTTTGCACAAGGTGGATGTTTACAAGGCAAAGCCCTCCAGGAAACACAAAAGAGGACACCTGTGCCAAGACCTAGCTGAAGTTTGAGAGCAAACTTGTGTGATGCAAACCTGGCCAGGGAAACTTGTACAGCTCAGGACCCTACTGGGCTTCTCAAGCCACACACCAGATGATGACCACATCTGACAAGGCTTCTATCTTTCCAGAGAAGCTGGGGTTTTAATTCTTTAGCTCCTTATATCAAGAAACTGGCAGTGGGGATTCTGCCCACCCACAGGAATCATTTGGATTCCAGATCACTAGAGGCAGTAAAAGATGATTTAGAAGACTGCTATGCATTATATTTTTCACAGTTTAAAATGATCCAAACCTTTTGGAAACTCTTCATACAGAGTTTGGGAACCTTTATGCATCTGGAGTTATTTTTAAATGAAAGACTTTTAAAAAGATTAAAATCTTGAGGTTTTTCTGTATATCTTGACAATTTTATTTCTCCCCATTTTAAAACTGTTTTGCTGACACTCACACTGAAGTTTGCTGCTTTACTCTCTACCTTATAAGGGCTGTCCAGACTGTTCCTTCAAAGTCACTGAGGCACCACCTGTGCTTGGTCACTAGAATATCAGCTAGGTTAAAAGACTGAATCCTGTAACACTACATTTTCAGTGCTCATTGTTATCTCTCTAGAGCAGAGATAAAAGAGATAAGGAGGCAAAAATGAATTATGTTTTTATATATAAGTTCCCCTAGGATTGAAGAAACTCAAAAGATTTGCCTCAAATTCAACTAAATTACTCCATATCACAGTAATTTCATTCAAATACTAAATGTTTTGTAATTTTTATAAAGAAGAAAGTGAAAAATGGGGAAAGAGTGGAAGAAAGGAGGGAAGAGAGATAGGAAAAAAGAAAAGAAGGAAGGAGAAAGGAAGGGAGGAAGGAAAAGTGGGTGGGTAGAGAGAAAGTTTATCCCATTTCTGGGATGTATTCAACCCTTTTGTTTTATTTGAAGTGAATAATTGGGAAGTTTGAGTGAGTAAATAGAAAATGATAGTTGTTGTGGGTAAAAAAAAAATCTGTTCACTAGAAAATAAAACCAAGAGGCACAACAGAACCTGAGTAGAGGGCAAGAAATCCAACAAGCTACTGAAGCTCCCTGTGTAGAAAGATAAAGGTAAATGCCAGTTACTTTTTTCCAGAGCCTTTGTTTGCCTTTCTACCTCTCTCTCCCCTAGGTACCTGCTCACTGTCTACTGCAGATTGTCCTGGACCTATGGGCAATTTTATTTTTCAAAGCTCTATGCTTTTTACTTCTAGCTTCTCATCTTTGGGAAACAGGTGGAGTATAAATAATCATTCACATTTGAGAGATGAAGAAAACAGGGCACAGCCACCTTCGATCATTTGCTATCAGCCACAAAGCACAGAGTCTAAGAGCACAGTCACTCTCCTCATTGGCTCCAGTGCTGATCCTACTCACCTTCCAACTCCATCAACACCTGGCACAAGCAAAGTTCTCAGATCTCCAAGACCACAGGATGCCAGGTGTCTGAGGATTACACCTCTGTCCCCAGCTTCCCCAGCCTATGCTCTAGGACTTCTCATACCTCTTGCAACTAGCACCTGGGTGTAAGGAGCCTGTGAGGCAAAGATGCCTCCTCCTAATCAGACTCCACTTCCTACATCCTCAGCAGCAGGAACCAGGATGGAAGAGGCCCCATGCCTGCCTGCACTGTTTGTTATTTCTCTACCAAGTTGGCAAGGATGGAAGTTGTTGATTTACAATGAGAAGCAGCATGCTTCTTCAAATATTAATATTAATAACAACAACACCCAAACACATGAAAAGCCCTTTTCATCTTCAAAGCACTTTACAGACATTAACTCATTAACTCCATTCAGCTCCATTCAGGAACACCAGGTAAGTAAGAATCTAACAGGAAGAGTGCCCCTAGCAGCCCTCCCTGCATAATCCAAGCCTACTGAAGCAATAGAGCTTCTCTAATTAAAAAAACAAGAGGAGGTGCAGCAATCCAGAACCACAGCTGATGGACCAGTTAAATGTCAGTAATTTTAAAAATCAAATGGAGTTGTCAGAGTTACCATTTTAGGATCTGTATTTCCCGCCGTTTAACAAAGATGTTTTTTCAGTTGAATGGCAGTGGTATGAAGCAGGAAGAAAAAAGTGACCTTGAGATGTAAGAGCGAGAGCAACAGAGAATGAGCAAAGCCTGCAATCAAATGCCTTGATTTCAGTAACCTAGGATCTACTGCACAGTTTACCCACAGAAAATGCAACTTGGAAAGGCAGCAATAGAAACATCTTTAATAGTAGATGAGAAACCACACACAGAGTGGGATTGCCAGATACAACCGGGGAATGGAAAGGAATAGCCATTCAAGTCTCCTGCCTCTCCAGAGCAGGTTCCCTGGACCCCAGCCTTCCAGTGCAGGAAAGATGCCCCCCACTCCCTCCATGACCTTGACTGGGAGACATTCCTCCAGCCCACCTGCATACTCTACAGTGCAACTACCATCCAAAGGATTGGCAAACCCTTGCAGAAGTGGAAGTTGCAAGATAGCAAAAAACACCCAACAGGCTATCTTCCCTCGTGAGATTGAAACCTGTGGCAATTTCCTGTCTATAAAAGCAATTCATTAAGATGCTAAAAAGAAAGAAAAAAAGGAAAAGACTAGACCCACCAGGACTGAAAGAGAAAAAAAGAAAGAAACCTCTATGTTGTGTTGAACTACAGTTTTATTTCTTTGGGAGTGTTCCAATCTGCAAGGAAAATTCAGTCTGTGACAAGGCGTCCCAGAGTATCTAAAACGCACATGACTTCGCTTTTGAAAAGGAGTGAGATAGTCTGGATGTCTGACTATCCTAACAAAGTTAGGCAGCATGTTTGAAAAACAGTATGAAGCAGTTGAATGGATGAATGTAAAAGGAAGGAAGAGAGACCTGGTTGTATCCTGAAAGTTTCCACTATTCTATCTTTTAATTTCACAGAATGGAAAGGAAAAGGAAAATGGAATAAAAAGTTTGAAGCAGAAACTCACACTTTGCCAGAGAGAGGGAGTGAAGAACAGTTACCCAGGAAGCTCGGCTCCAGGTCTGTGCTCTCTTTTCCAACTACCTGCGGGAGTGCTCCGCTGTGCAGCTGAAGAGGATGCGAAGACCATAATGTTTCTAATAGCGCTGCCTCCTTAAGTGAGGGGTGTGGTCAAGCCCGGGAAAGCTGGAAAAAGGGCGGTCTTCAGCCAGCCCCTGGCACGGCACCCAGTCGGAGATCATTAAGATAGAGGCTGTGGTCTAGAGGGAAAGAAGAGGGTATCTGGCTGTGGCCACACCAAATCACACCTTATTTTTTATCTGTCAAATTATGCTTCAACTAGATATAATTCAGCCCTGAGGAGAAATGAGTAGGGAGATGAGCAAAAGGGAGCTAGCCTTGTGGGATAACACTGTCTTATCACTTGCTGATACAGTGGTTTCCTCTCTGCTGAATATGTGAATATTCATGGCCCACCTTGCTTGGCTCTCTCCACGGATCCCTGTTAGCCCAGGCCAGGGCTCCGGAGGGACAGGAGGGAAAGGCTGCTGCAAAATCAGTTCAGGAGCCTGTCAGCCAGCAGGGTGTCTGCCACCCTCTCAGTTGCTCAGACTTCTTGTTTCTATTATCCTGATCTAAAACACCGTATTTCCTAAGGAACAGAAAATAATTACAGTTGTGAATCAGTCATGTGGAATAAATTGCTTGAAATTCAACCTTCTGTAGTGCCCCCCTTGTGCAACACAAAATGTCCACATATGCAAACTAAGGTGGCTATGACTGATACAATTTTATGGGACCACCCTGCTATATGTGGTCCATCTTGGATCAAAAGATGGTTACACGGTGCATGACTATAGAAGAGAGCCGACCAAACAGGGACTTAGGATTTCTAAGAGGTAAAGCTAAATGCCCTCTTCACGTAAGTCTGATTTGAGTGATCTCCAAAATAGTTGAGTGTTCATTGCCCTGATTCATGATCCATGGTGTGGGAATAAAAGGGCAGAAATATTCGTATATGTCTCATTTGGAATAAATATAAACAATGTGAAAGTCTTGCATTTATCCTAGGTACACAACATCTTTTATTTGCCTGCATTTTCAGAACAATGGTGAGAATATTACGATGTGATCTCATTTCTATGAGTGATTTTATTATGAAAAATTTTTTGAAAAGTCAGTATTTACTTAGTTTAAGATATTTATTCTCAGATTCAATTTATTTTGAGCAACAGGTGAAAGATAAAGTTTGTCATGGTTGGGTCCATTTCCTTTTTAATGAAGACACAGATGCTTAACTTTGAAATTCCATAAAAATCTACTGCATGCCATTTGGAGCAATTGTCATTATCCTTCATTGTTTATGGCTATATGACCCTATAATTAAAACAACGTTTCATTGCTGAGGTTTTGGCTTTGCACACTAACATGGCTTGGAAGAAATGAAGGAGGAATGCTATTGGTTCAATTTAATTTATTAATGTATGTTCCAGGTGCTGTTCTAGGCATGAGAGATCTAACAATTTCACAGTATTGTTGGAAGACAGAAGTATATAAATCAACAATATCCATAGAATGCAATACATGTTGTGAGAGATGTCTGTAGAGCTAAGGAACCTTCTGCCTGTCTCCCACAGCCCAGCTAATTCCAGCAGCCTGCCCCTTCTAAATAGTGTGTGGTCAATTAATCACAAGTAATCACAATTGTATCCACTATGTTTGCAAGAGAATTGAAAGGAAGACAGAGAGACAAAAACTGTACCTTTTTCCCTTCTGAAGATATACAGTGTGATTATTGAGGGTTGCAGGAACTAGAGTTATCTACAATGAGTTCATATGGTCAGTAACCCTTAGGAATTTAGCTCCATCCTCTACTGTGTATTGTGTTGTGGAAGAGAATAAACTAAGAATCAAAATGATGCAAAATAACCCTCTGCTGCCACAAATTGCCTAGAGAATGCCCAGGAAAAACAGTAAGCTTTGTTATAAAAAGTATCTTCAGAAATATAGCGTTAGGTGCATATCCACAAGCAAAAGAATGAAATTTTGAACATCAAAGGGCACTATCAAGAAAATGAAAAAGAAGCTGACAGAATGAAAGGAAATATTTGCAAGAGGGGGTGAAGGGAGGGCAGGGGAATGGGGAAAAAAATAAGAACCAAGATACATCATGTAAAGGTACAAGATCTCAATGATGAATGTATCTGTATTGTATACCTAAATTGTACCAATAAACTTAATGGAAAAAAAAAAAGAAAGGAGATACTTGCAAATCACATATCTGACAAGGAATTAATATTCAAAAAATATAAAGAACTATAACTCAACAACTAACCCAATGAAAAACTGAGAAAGAACTTGAGTAGACATTTCTTCAAAAATATAGAAATGCTAACAAGCACATGAAAAGATGATCAACATCACTAATCATTAGGAAAATGTAAATCAAAACCAGAATGAGATAATACTTCACATATATTAGGATTCCTATTACCCAAAAAACAGAAAATTATGGCAAGGATGTGGAGAAACTGAACTCTAGTGCACCGCCAGTGAGAATGTAAAATGGTGCAAGCACTGTGAGAAGCAATTTGGTGGTTCCTTAAGGCAGTTAAGCATAAAACTACCATATGATCCAGAAATTCCTTTCCTAGACACATAGCCAAAGGATTGAAAACAGAAACTTAAACAGGTATTTGTACACTAATGTTCGAAGAATTATGATAGTCAAAAGGTAGAATCAACCTAAATGTCTATCCACAGATGAACATACTGGTGAAATACAGGATACACTCACAATGGAATATCATTCAACCTGAAAAAGAATGAGATTCTTACCGATGCTACAACATGGATGAATCTTGATACATTGCTTGATAAAATAAGCCAAACAAAAAAGAAGAATATTGTAAAATTCCACCTATTTGAGGTACCTGAATGGTGAAAATTATAGACTGAAAGTACAATAGAGTTCAACAGGAGATTGGAGGAGAGGGGAGTGAAGAGTTAGGGTTTAATAGAGAGTTTAATTTGGGGATAATGAAAAAGCTCTGGAGATGGATAGTGGTGATGGTTACTCACAAGTAAACACATTTAATGGCTCTGAACTATACATTTAAAAATGATTATGATAATAAATTTTACATAAAAAATACACTGTCCCAAAGGAAAAGTTAGGGTCAAGTAGGCCTTCCACAGAAGTCATGCTCTGGATATCCCAGAAGGATGTTATTGGGCAAGAGAAAATCATCCCTCCGGAGCAGAGGGTTTGACCACATCGGAAGGAGCACAGTTCTCTACACAGCCTTGGCCATGTCACCTGTCGAAGTGAGGATAACGACTCCAGCCCAACTTCACAGGGCTGTGCAGGTGACCACCCCTGGTAACTTGTCAACACTGAGTTGCACAAGTGGTGTCACTTTGTCTTCTCTGCATCCTGTGATGTTAAATCCTATGAGGAAGGACCTCAGTTGAGATCACCATCTATTTTAACATCCTCAAGAAAAATAATGAGCCCCAGTGACCTCAAGACATGCATACTTGTGGTCTCCATGTAAATGTGTTATGCAAAATAGGGTTGTTTGCTTCTGGGATGGAATATCCTCATAGACCAGCATAAATGGTAGTAGTCAATGAAGTTCAGACACAATTGAGATAGGGTTTATATGAGTTTCTAGGATAACTGCCCCAGCTATTTGCTCTTCTTACTTTCCAGAACCCTTTTCCTTTTCTCATCATAACAAGCTACATTGTAAGTCGTTGTCTCCTAAGAGTTAAAAAGGTGGTAAGCTTTGCAGGGGTCTTCACCCCTCCCCTCACTCCCACCAACCACCTAAAATGCAGAAGACCCTTTCACAACAACTTGTCAGGATTCGTTAAGCCACTCTTGTCACACTGCAAGTTAAGTTTGAAATGAAGAAGGGCATTTAATTTAATGAGAAACAAAACATTAGCTATTTATTGCACTTTATATATTATCTCACCTAGGTGAGAAATAAAATCTTCTGGTGCTTTAGAAGACTCCCTGTATCGATGGAAGCAGTAAGCAAGCTATCAACACAGTGGAGGCAAATCCCAGACATCATTAGAAGCACAGTTGTCACCAAATATTGAAGAGGCCCCAGAAGATAAGATGAAAGGAAAGCAAAAAGCAAGAACCTTGTCTGTTCACACTCCAGCTCTGGAACCTCTTATGCTGCACTTTGTAATGAATCGCTCTTCTTCCCATGATCAAAAGCCCAGCCGTGTCTTGAGCCACAGATGGAACTGCATGGCACACACACAAGTACTCACATCTGGCACCCAGGTGAGTGTCCTGCATGTGCCAGGTAGCTTATCTACGGAGAAGCCGGGTTTCTTGACACAGTCCTTCCAGGACCCACACTATCTTTCTGAATTTAACTTCTTCCTGCAATGCAAAATGGGTTAGGGATAGGGCCCCAATGCATCCTTGCAAAGTAGCTTGTATAAGGTTTGTCAGAGATGTTTGCTCATCCTGATTCTATTGGGGCTGCTCAGCATCCTTTGGATTCCACAGATTCAGAGTTCTGACAGAACGGATGACTATGAGATGGACCAGATGTGCAGCCTGTTATCATACACTCCATGGTACACAGCGGTGCCCTTTCCCCATGCCTGCCCTCCAGAGCTCCCCCATTCATTTCAGCACCTGGAGGCATCTACATCCCATCTCCCTAGTTCCAGTCCCCTCTTTCTCCTCTGTGTCTCCCAGAACAGGCCGGTTTCAGCTCCTGCACCTTTTCCCATAAGCAATCTCATTCCTGTGTTGCAGCAATGTGATTTAAATTCTCAGAGCTCCTTCTCTTGTCTTGTCTCCCCCACTAGAATGTGATTCAGAGAGATGAGGAGCTGTGTTTTTGACATTTACTTATCCATCAATATTCACCTAAAGTCCCTCCCCAGCATACTCACTTGAACATAAATGAACTGGATAAATATAAAAAGTCAAAGATGACAGCTGAAAATATACACAGCATGACACCATCTTTAAAATCTAAGAGCATATATCACCTAAGTGTTGAGGGTCATTTCTGGTGGCATGAGAGATAATTGTTTTATTTTTATGTTATGTTTGTGTTTTCTGATTTTCATATAGTATTATGTTTCATT